TCCATCGCGTAGCACTCATTGATCTTCTAAGTGATAGATCGTCTTCACAATGACCCAAGCCCATCTTGCAGCAGGGTCTATGCTCTTCAGATCCCTTATCCAGTCAATAGCGAGAGCTACCGTCTCGTTCGCGTCAATTTCAAAACGGTCTCCGCACATTGTCGATCTGATTCTCGTCAGGATTGGGACCTGTTGACTCAGATGAAGAATGACGAGAGTCCCAAGTAGATTCTGGGTCCAGAAAAACAGACACGGGACAAGCCTCTTGTGACCACATGTTGGGGACATAATGACAGGCCACTTCAAACACGCCTTGAGGCACTCAGCCGCACCTTCAGCGTCTTCGCGTACCATCTGGTCGGGATGATGAAGAGCCTTGTACAGAAAAGGGCGATGTATGAGGTACTTGATATAGTAATAGCGGGTTCGTAACATGGCCACCTGGATGTCGAGAGCATATGGATATGCTACAGCTTCGCTATCAAGGTCGCTCGTGAACATGAAGGCGTTGTGACCATGAGATGTGGCTGGCGAGGAATATGTTGGACCATACACCTCGTGGTTAGGATTGGGAAACGCTCCTGGATCCCCCTCATGCCACCGGAGGTGAATAGGTAGGAGACTTCCCCTCCAGTGATCAAGCTGGAACACCAAAGGCTTGATGGTGGTTGTCACGGCTGGAGGCGAATGGGCTGGCGTCCCAGGGAATGAGAACGCTGCAGAACGTTGCCCTAACACTGTCAATACGCGTGACTCCTCGTATTGACTGCAGGTCCACAAAGCACATCGCAAGACAAAAGGGCCATTCCAACGCTACAGCCGTACTCACCATTGCTCAGGACATTGTGAAAGTCAACCGACAAACGCCGCAAGACAATCTGAGATGCAAAGTGTTCCTGGAAATGAGACGCCTCGTTTCCCAAGTAGTCGTCCTGAGAGAAGGTACCGCTGAAGTCTGGGACTCGAACCATGGTTTCAAACTTATCGAGACCCGTCAAGGGCAGGCCCAACTCTAGGTTGAAGAATCTGATGCCGGATTAGTCTACTACTGATTTAGGAGAGACAGGATGGACAACGTTTCCATGATAGAGCAGTGCCAGAACGCACGCCTAATGATATCCCCTCGGGACGACGCGAGTTCCGCCGGGTTGCTGCACTCGTCAGCCATGCCTTCGAGACGCTAGTGAAAAGCATGTACCTCGTGATAAGAGCCTGACAAGCCAGAGAGGCAGACGTGGTCATTCTCCAAAATTCCTGGTATGTGTTAGACTGTCGTTGTGATTGAAAACTTGGAAGAAGACATGCCATATGATAACAGCAAGTTCCGTAGTACAAGCTGGAATGCGTCAAAAACAAGGACGAAAGCTGCTAGGGAGACTACAACCAACCCTGCTAAGGCAAAGATTTGGACATTCTCCAAGCTGCATTCGGTCAGATTGAAACCCATTCGCCTTCGAGCTTCATTGAAGAGCGTCAGTCCAGGCGGCAAACCGCCATTGCCCCCCTTGATGCCACTTGGGCGGCCATTATAGATGGTAAGAGGATTGCCCTTTTGGCCTGCCAGAGCAACTTCGCCCAGGGCGAAAATAAGATGAGCAAGTGTAGACATGATACCATCATCAAAGCCATCATTGAAAATGGCTGGCAAAGTCGTAGACAGGAAAACCTCCCTATCAACGATAGGATAGAGGAAGTTGAAGGTGTCAAAATAAGCTTTGCTGAGCCTCTGCACTGTCTCCCAGGTTAGATTATTGACCATGCGTGGCGCGCCTGAAGAACTGGATATGTGGGTTTGCATCGTCCCTGACGGCACTTGAGACAACAGAGCCTCTGCTGCGGGAAGAGCTGAAGGCCCATATCTTTGTTGCTGCCCCAGTACGATCGAAGGGCCATCATGCTCTATGGATCCAGGGTTAAAATCGGGAACTTCTGAGAATAAGCTTTCGAGGAGGTGCTGGATGACTGGCCAGCCAAGCATTTGATGAACAGAAGACACATAACGATATGTTGATCCGCCGCCAAGAGGCGAGCCAGTGTGTTCAGAGGATTGAAGGCTTGGAGGAGCGAAGGGCCCGAAGCTGGATGAGCTAGTCAATGGGGTTGGTGTTTGGACAAGAGAGTCGTCTGATAACGAGCCGTACGAGGCCGAGTGTGGGAGACTTTGGAGCCCAAGCTTGTCGATCTTTCCTTCCACAACTTTAATGCGGTCTAGAATCTCAACAAGAGTCTTGTCTTTCCTAAGTGCGTGTCAACACACCTCTAAGAGAAAGACTCTACAGGAAATGTGTATGACTGGGATAGTCGCCGAACAGGAGGTGAAGGGGAGCATACTTGGTCGGCTGGGGTTCGCGATAGTGACAATCGAGCTGGAACTTTTGGCAGGTGCTACATCTTGGCCGCTGCTCGTCGCACTTTTGTTTTCTGCTACGACAAGTCTCACATGCCTGTAGAGGGCAAGTCAGTCCATCGACACATGACCAGAGAGCAGACAGTAGGGGTGCCATCAATGCTTGCCAAGCATCATGCCGAGCTAGGAGTTTACAAGACCCGGACATCCACGAGTATTCTAGTATAGCTTACCTGCGTAGCGATTGCGCCCCTTTCCTTTCTCTGGTTTGTTGAGGGCCCGGAAGCTTGTGGGCTTGGGTTCTGCGTGGCCGAAGGGTCATTGTCCATTTCTCATCAGCTAGCCATCCACCTAATCTTCAGGCTATGCAGAGAACGAGTCACCCCCACAGGCAAGTCGCCAACTGATACCCTGAAGCTAGATGTCAGCAATCGCTCAATGTCTACATTCGCGCTACCGCCGGCGGGTTACTTGTTTCGTGGAGAAGGTTGCCGGAGGTTGCAACCCGACTGGTTCGGCAAAAGGAGATGCGTCTCGATCGGAGTAGGACAAGATGTGGACAGCGACGTACCGTACCAATGGAGGAGGAGCTGGCTAGCTGGGAAGAGAAGCTTCTGGCCCAAGTTAGAACTTACGATGGAGCTCCGTGGACTGCTGGGCCGTGCCGCCGATATTAAGCTTCTCCATCGGAGTCCCTCCGTTCAGGGGGGGGATGACCCCCTAATGTGACCGGTCAGGGACAGGAAGCCACCGACGACAGCCGAACATAGCGCCACAGAGGCACGGACGGACAACAAAAGCTCGGAAGCCAAAAGGGGAGAGGAGCATGCAGACAGATTGGAACGGAGATTGGCTGTGCGGGGGCATGTCTACTCGGTGTGGTAATGTGCCCGCGATGCACGGAATCTAGTGGAATGTTTACATGAAAAAGCGGAAGTTGGAACGACGTCATAAGCATGAAGCAGATGCAGGTCGCTGGGACCGTGCCAGGGTTTGAAGGATGATAAGACCCAGGAGGGAGCCGCGCACCCTGTGCCACGTCCAGCACGTCAGCCCAATTGGCACAGCTGCAACTTGCAGGCACAGTTTCCAGATGCTTCTACAGCTGCCGCGCTCTCGTCAAAAGCACGATCAATGCCCGCATCTTCGATCTCGACGACAGGCCTGGCGCAGAGTGATTCGATCGGCTGGACCACGTGAGAAAGAGGACAAGGAAAAAGGAACATGACGGGGTAAGGACAGCAACGAAAGAGTAAGATGATGATATGCATCATCCGGACTGGAAAATGTGGTATAGAGGTCTTCGTGATAGAGAGAAGACAGCCCCCAACCTGTACGGTACACTTGTAGCAGAGCGCTGGGCAGTACGTGCAGCACCATGGACGGGGAAGTCGGGAGGCTCATCTCGTGTCATTTTGGGGAAACATGGCGCACAGGGACCTAGTTGTCAAGACGCCTCCCATTCGACCGTGCTGTCCAGTTACGTGGGAGGCCCTGCAGCTTCCCGCCCATTTCAGAGAAGTCCCTGCTTCACAAGCTGGGGGATTTGCTTAAGGGTCCTGCCGGGACTCGAGATCCTGATTTCCTGCCGCCTCCAGAGACGGGGAGGGGAAAACCTGAAAACAGATAATTCCTGGGAAGATGTGAAAACAGGGCAGAGCTTGCAGGAAGGGTGGGCGGGACATTGAGCTAGGAAGGTCGCTAGACCAGTTGGAGTTTCGTCAGAAGCGACCCTTCTGCGGGGTCAGGCAGCTCTCATAACGGTCCTCACGGCCGAAAGCGTGAAGGTTGGTGCTGCAGGTAGCTCTTGTTGCTTGGTGGTGCGCGCCAGAACCATGCCAGCCAGCGTCCGGCGTCCTCGCACGGCACGAGGCCGGTGAACTCACAGCTCGAGTCCGGCGGCGCAAGGCGGCTGCGCGCCTCCATGTTTGAGACTTGACGTGTCTCACGGCAGGACGATAGGCTGACAAGCTTCGAAGGAGCGGTGAACATCCTGGGAAATGAGGGCAGCAGTGCAGAGGTGTTCCATTTCCAGTTGGGGTCATCCTGACGGGACTCAGTTGAATGGCGAGGCCATCGCGGAGACGGAGACGTCTCCGGAGTTGAGCCACGTGATGTGATGTTGGCATGTCGGTGAATGTCGGTGATACGGCGAATCATTTGTTCCTGGCAGAATGGGCGATAAAGGTCAGAGCCGACCCGGACCCGGACCCACTTGCAGCTTCTGTCCCACCCGTAGCCCGGTCCTGAGCCCTGCCCTGAACACCTGCGAACCTTGCCCTGCAGCAGCGCCAGGCTCAGCTAACCTTACTTACTACCTTAGTGCACGCACCTCATTCCTTACCTAATCTCCATTTTCGGTCTACCTCACCTTAGCCTAGCCTAGCCAAGCCGAGCCTAGTCCACTTACGCCAACGAGGCCGCAAGGCAACAGGAGCTTGAGGTAAGCTCCCAATCCATCACCAATCAACCGACAAACAACCGTAGCATCATCAACACCATCGACATCGCCGAGTTTTCCAGACCATAGTCTCAAATATCGTCTTGATACATACTCGACGACGTGCAAAGCGACAGCGTGAGCAGAAGGACACCTTTTCCCTGCGTCCCTCCGACACTCCCTCCCTGCACGACATCAATAAACAAGTTCGTCATGTCCTCCGACGAAGAGCGGCAACACGCCCTCGCGGCTTTTAAGGACAAGCTCATCGAGTCAAGAGAATGGGAAGCAAAGTTGAAGAACCTGCGGCTGGAGATCAAGGGCCTGCAAAGGGACTTCGATCAGACCGAAGAGAACATCAAGGCGCTGCAAAGCGTCGGCCAGATCATCGGAGAAGTGTTAAAACAGCTGGACGATGAGAGATGTGAGTCTGCACCTGGCATTTCCACCTATAGATACGTCATAACTCTCGTCTTTCTACGGTGTACTGACTGTTATGTGTCCTTGTAGTCATCGTCAAAGCCTCTTCAGGTCCTCGATATGTGGTCGGGTGTAGATCAAAAGTCGACAAGATCAAGTTGAAGCAGGGAACCCGCGTAGCACTCGATATGACAACTCTCACAATCATGCGCATGCTACCACGAGAGGTAGACCCGCTCGTCTACAACATGTCTCTCGAGGATCCCGGCCAGGTCAGCTTTGGTGGTATCGGAGGGTTGAACGATCAGATTCGAGAGCTACGTGAGGTTATTGAGCTACCGCTAAAGAACCCAGAGCTGTTCTTGAGAGTGGGAATCAAACCGCCCAAGGGAGTGCTGCTGTATGGACCCCCTGGAACTGGCAAAACCTTGCTCGCGAGAGCTGTCGCGAGTAGTCTGGAGACAAATTTCCTGAAGGGTATGTTTTTCCCCACCTATCCACCGTACGGCGCAGTGCTGACGCGATGCCTTGAACAGTCGTCTCCTCTGCCATCGTCGACAAGTATATCGGTGAATCTGCCCGTTTGATTCGTGAGATGTTCGGCTATGCCAAGGAACACGAGCCTTGCATCATCTTCATGGACGAAATCGATGCCATCGGCGGCCGCCGGTTCTCCGAGGGAACGTCTGCCGATCGTGAAATCCAGAGGACACTAATGGAGCTGCTCAACCAACTTGACGGTTTCGACTACCTGGGCAAGACCAAGATTATCATGGCGACAAACAGACCTGACACTCTAGACCCGGCACTGCTTCGCGCAGGTCGTCTGGACCGAAAGATCGAAATTCCTCTACCGAACGAGGTGGGCCGATTAGAAATTCTCAAGATCCACGCGGCAGGCGTCGTCACGGAGGGAGATATCGACTTCGAGAGTGTGGTGAAGATGAGCGATGGCCTGAACGGCGCCGATTTGCGTAACGTCGTTACCGAAGCGTATGTGTCCTCTTCCAAGATTAGGCATGTCCCTGCACCCATGAACCATTTGCTAACTTACATCAGGGGTCTATTTGCTATCAAGGACTACCGAGATGCTGTAAATCAGGACGATTTCAACAAGGCAGTCCGGAAGCTTGCTGAGGCGAAGAAACTCGAGGGGAAGCTAGAGTACCAGAAGTTGTAAGCGGTCAATACTCCTAATTAGACTGGACGAAACAAACGGCTCGTCGTCATTAGACCGTATGGCAATGGAGATTTACGAGTAAAGTGAAGAAATGGGGACGCCTCACTAGCTGGAGTGTGCCCGTGGTGGTCATACAACACCATTAGCCTTTTCACATGAACAAGGTGCTCAGATGTAACCCTGTATTAGTAGCCAATAGACGAGCACATGAAAGTGAAATTCATGGGTATCATTTTATTGTATCAGTGACAATTAAATCTAACATCACTAGCCAAAGCCGGGAAAGCAGCCGTCGGCTCCTTCGCCGTCCCTGCAGGCCTAGATTCAGACATGAGTTCTCAATGCCAAGATGCAGTTCCCCTAGACAACGATTTACAAATCCTAATTAGTCATCCACTGGCTCATCAGCAAATCGAACAACACGAGGTTCTGCCAGCAATGCTGGTGATGGAGATACATCGTCGTCCTCGCTGGCTGCAAATCGCACTCGCCGAGGCGGAGGTTCCATGCTATCAGGGGTCGACAACCCAGATGAAGACTGCCGTTGTCCAAAGCTCAACGCAAACTTCCTCTTCACAAGATTCGGTGTCGGCGACGCTGTGGCACTGCTGACCAAGGAATCGGCCTCTTTCGGAACGAGATCTTCGTCAGGATGAGAGGTCTCGCGACCAAATCCACGGCCGAAAACATATTGCGGCGTCTTCAGTGGTGCCATCTGAGCAGGTCCGTCCGTGTTATCAATATCGGGGAGAGGAATGATCTTCACATTGAGGATCCAGTTGAAAATTGGCCGGTCATCGAGGATAGACTTGCACTTTCGATGCTCGGCTTGAGTCATCTTTTGCTTTCGCTCCATGATGACCTCTTCTAGACTGCCACGAAGGACCAAAGTCTCGACGAATACTTCTTTCTTCTGACTGATCCGCCGCACTCGCCCGATAGCCTGGGCTTCGACTTGTGGGTTGAGTACTGGGTTGATGAAGTAGATACGGGAGGCTGACCGCATGTCGAGACCAAAAGCAGCTTGAGAAATATCCATGAGAAGGACCCTGAACAGAAAGTCAGCAAATATGGGAGGAGAGTAGATCAAGATAACGTGCCTAAACTTGGTGCTCTGGTTGAAGGTTGCCACATACTGTGCCCTTCGCTCGACAGTAATGCCCTTGGCGTAAATGAGATGCTTGATGTCAAGCTAGGAGTTCGTCAGCATCTATAACCTCGATTTACATCAAGCAACTCACCACTTCCAGTAATCCAGCCAAGTACCACGCCACGTTCTCGTTTTCATAGAAGACAAGAATCTGCTCATCATCTTGATATTTGATAATCGAATCAACAAGGTACGAAAGCTTTGCCGATGCAGTTGAAATGATCTGAGTCTTCGCGAGCGGCTCCGGGATGTCGGCTTCTGGTGTTTGTGGTGGCGTGGGGATGCTCTCTGCTCCTTTGCTAGCTTTAAGCAGCCCGGTGTGACGCTTACGAGGACTAACACTATCCTCTCCCAGCTTTGTATTCCCAGCCAGGGTCTGGTTGTGCTTTTTGTGATCGTTGTCAGCGGAAGTTCCTGTTGATAACTGCTCCGAGAGCGCTTTGTCCCGTTCCTTATTGCCCTCGTCCATCAGACGACCACCGTTCAACAGTGTGTTAAGTCCCTGGGGGGAGTCTACCCACGGATTGAGGAACCTTTGAAGTGCAGAGATGAGCCTCCAGTTCGAACAAACCGGATCTTCCTTGAGATCGTCCGTTCGCATCGACCATGACTGCGCCTGGTCGAGGCCACCAGGGAAGTCCCGGACGTAGACAGGTACTTCGTGGTGCATGTTGGCTGCTTCCCTTATCTTATTAAGTTGTGCAATTTTACCAAATGCAATCGCTTCATGCAATAGTCGTTCATCCTCTTCGCTGACTGTGATTTTCTTCTCTTCCAGGAATTTCTCCGCCGTCTCAACTGACTTGGTTATTTCGTCTGCTGAGAAAAAGGACCCTCCAAAGAAACTAGACTGTCTCAAGTTGTGGACAAGTTGCAAGAGATTCTTGCGCTGTCGGGGGTGGAAAAAGTAGTCTTGGTCAGTCCGCTGTGATTGCACAGAATTGAGGATAATCATCATCGAAAATAGGTTGAGGGCAATTTTATCTTGATAGGAGCCATCAAGATAGACTAATTTCTCGTTGACAGGTGGTAATAGGTCCCCGACTTCCGATAGGCGGTGTCGAATGATCAAAGATTCGAAAGTGGTCCGCAGGCAGTCTTTCCGGCCGCTGCTTCGAGGACTATGCTTCGGTTGCATGACATACACTTTCCAGTCTGCCAGGGTATCGCCATTTTCCTCAACAGTGTTCGACCACGGTCTAGCTCTTAGGTATAATGAAGCTATCGAGCCAATTCTTTCCAAGTCTTTCCGTTCTTGTGCGCCGGAATCCGCCAAGGTCTTTGTATCTTTGCCGGCCAACGCAGCCGGAGTTTGGTCGTCAACGCCGTACAGGCCTTGCGAAGGTGTGCCCGTAGCAATCCACCGCGCAGAGACTTGAAGGCAATCGAGAACCAATAGGATGTTGGTTTTGCTTCCACCAATCTTGGCGTTTCCAAGCTTGTGACCCTCGTCCACGATGCATCTTTTGAAATGAATTTGTCCCAGGGGGGAGTCAAGCCGCCAAGAGCCATCCCTTTCGGGCAGTCGGTCCTCATGCCACATATTCTCAAATCGAGGAATACTGATGAGAATGATGTCGTACGTGAGAAGGTCTTCGACTGGTGGGATCTTGTCTTTGGTCTTGAGAACAAGTACTTTGAGACCTTCGGTATGTTTGGCAATCTCCTGGGTCCATTGCCCTAGAAGATTGGCCGGTACAATCACCAAACTTGCTCTGCTGAGGTAGATTCTTGTTGGCGGTAACTCCGTTTGAGGCTGGCGTGTTCCCCTTCTCGCCTCCGGTCGCGGCCGGTCATACCAACCAAGATTTCTCTGAATCGCTTGAACACAGAATTCATATTCTCGATCGCCGTCGGCTCTATTTTGATCAAAATAGAGGCTCCAGGGGACAGAATTTCGAGTGATTGTTGCGGCAGCCATGTCCATCAGAGACCCTACTCGTGAGCGGACTGCCACGTTGCTTCCTTTGTAGATGTCAGGAACTTCTGCGGGTTGATGCCTGGCCGCAAGAATCAAAGCCAGGCAAATCAGCGTCTTCCCTGACCCCATCTCTTCTGCTAGAATACCACCACGGACATCATCGTAATGGCGAGGCTCGCGCAAAACTGTTCCAACCACATTATCGTAATACCACGGCTGCCCGTGCTGGTCTGCGACCTGCAACAATCGTGGGTCCAAGACTTGGCCTGGCTGTGCTTCCCGCTGGAGCATTAGGGCAGCTGAGCGGCGTTGATATGGGTACAATGTGGTGGTCAGGCCTGGCACTTTGCTGTTCAACAGATCGGTCATGAACTCCCGCGCATAGCCGTTATGAACTACCTCAGGATGAGGATCCGGTGATGCTATGGAGTTGAACATTTGAAGCAGGGACATGTCTGCCCCATTTTGGTCTGACGTCTGTCCATCTTGGTGTAGCAGTAGCGGTCTTGATGGCGAACTGGTATCGATTGAATGTCCTTCCCAGGCTCTTGGAGAGAAATCGAGTCGGGCCATCAGATCTTTCTTCAGTCTCTGAAGGACGGGATCTGAGCGGTCAATGATGCGGCGATCAACGTCATCCGGAAGTACATATACTCGAAGTATGCTTGATTCCTGTCCATCACGGCTCACTCCGAACTCAAAGTGAACCCAACGTCGCCTGAAGAGGGCGTCATAGGATCGGATAGACTTCAACAGGGCCTCCTGAGCTGCTAGTGGAAGTGTGCTGAGCTCGGCAGACGTATCTGCATCATTGGTCAGGTCTTGTGGATCTGAGAACAACATCCATTGATTTGACGCATCAGCATCATAACCAAGGGCAGAAGGAGCTGCTACAGCACCGAGACAACCGGCTGGGATGTACTTCCGGAGCTGTAGGTACCGCTGATCCATGGCCGGTGAAAGGGCTTGAAGCAAGCCAACAGCAGTGCGTGAGATCTTCCTAAGTCATAGTACCTCCCCGCCCTCAATTGTGAGTGTGTTAACGCTGTGATGGGGGTGAGTTGAACTCCGTTGGTTGCCTACCTCCCGGTCGTAGATCGGTATAAAGTCCGGGTGTGGCTGATGCGGCGGCAAAATGTGGCTTGCTGACGTTCCACCCCGCCGAAGATTGGGGGTGTCCACAAGCGCTGTTGTGTGCTCTAGCGCCGGTTCTTGAACCCCCTACCTACCTATGCATGCCTACTATAAGTTACCTAATTCACCGAGAATTTGAGATTGGCAGATAAATTATGAGATATCGTGCATTATTTTGTTGTCATGACTTCCGCCCTCCGTTTTCTCTCACAAGATCATGCCATGGTCGGTTGATTTGCTTATCTGCGTCTAATCTCATCTGAGCGCGGAAGCCTATAACCCCCTGAAACTTTGACCAAGGCCTGAGAGGCTCTTGAAACAGTCGCAATGCACCAAAATACTGCATGGCCACGACTCGCAATATTTGCCGTTTAGGGTTTGAATGATTAGTCCAGTTGGAATCTACGGTTTTATATACCCTTTGTTCAGGCGACGAACTGCCCACCGTCCTCGGTGATTTGTCTCTTATATGCCCTCCTATCCTCAAAACAGTATGATGAGATCGCAACTTGTCACTTATTATTTATCCTTGGTTTCTATCTCCCTAGCAATTCGTGATGACCTCGGAGACGTCTCTCTCCCTTCTGACTTTTCTGCTTGGAGCCCGTTGCAGTTTATCAGCCGACCATGCAATATACGGCAGCATGAGAAGAATATCAGCGACGTGCATATGCCCAATGCAGCGCATCAGTCCTTGACTGAGCCCTCTACATGCGCCGGCAAATTCTGTGTGTACTCGAGCCCAGAATTCAATAATGGCCGTGGCATCACCTTCATCACTGCGAAGCAAGCCATGGATGATATTCGGACCCTCCCAATCTTCCATACAGCCAACGAAACATTGGGGCTCCAGTCAAAAGGACCCAGTCCCCATCTCAATGGCAAACCCCCATCAACGCAGTCAGAGAGCGACGACCCGCCGTTCCGCATAACAGAAGTACCTGGAAAGGGGCTGGGAGTCGTAGCAACACGACCCATTGTCCGCGGACAACGTATCATGAGGCACCCACCCACGGTAGTAGTCCATCGGCAGTTCGTCGATGACCTGAGCGAGGAGGAACAGGCCCGGCTCTTGGACTCAGCCATTGCAACATTACCATCCTCCACCCGAGATGTATTCGATGCACAGACGGGACACGCCGGCGGCTCGAAAGTCGTCGACATCATGCTGACCAACTCATTTGAGATGTCTCTTGCCATACCTGCAGACAGGCACCACTTTGGAAACTTCCCCGAGATCTCACGGTACAATCATGACTGTAGACCAAAGTGTGTCGTTCCTCCGAACTGACTAAGTAAATATTAACAAGCAGCTAGTGTGCAGTTCTATATCGACGAGACCATGACACACTACACTCATGCCGTCAAGGGTATACAACCCGGTGAGGAGCTCACCATATCGTACGTCGACCCCTTCACCGCACGATCCGTCAGGCAAGATCGAGCTAGGCGCTCCTGGGGTTTCGAATGCACCTGTGCGCATTGCAGCCTTCCTAAAGAACTCGCCAGAAAGTCCGATGATCGCCTGTGGCAGATATACGAAGTCGAGAACAGAATAGCTGACTGGAACTCGACGATTGACATGAGCGATATCGAGCTGCTCCTCTCACTGTACAAGCAGGAGAGCCTGGACCAGTCCCACGCTTCGGATGCCCTTGTTCATGCAGCGCTGAACTACAATGCTCTCGCAGAGGAAGAACTGGCTACGCGATATGCACAATTGGCGTTAGAGGCAGGGATGCTCGAAAAGGGCCCAAAGTCTCGCCATGTGCAGACAATGAGACAACTGCTGAAGGACCCGAAAGAACATTGGAGTTGGCGTCGGCGGATCAGGGGCTGATTTCCTGGGACGGATACCCATGATCAAAGCAATTGTTGTTTGATCTCCGTCAACTCTTATGATGAAGACTCCTCCCAACTTCTCAGAAGCCCGACTTTCCAATCCTGAAACACCCTATCCTTTGCAGGATACATCAAATTAGACTGTTCCAGCTCCTCGAAAACAGCTTTGATTGCCTCAGCGGGCAGGTTCACCTCCTGTTCGCGAGCGAGAACAGGCTCAAGGATCTTCTCGGCTTCTTTCACAGTGACGACTCGCCACATGACCTTCATCGCAGGTATGCGACCAGATACACTGCTTGACGTGAAACGGATGCGCTGGTTCAAGACCCATATGTAAAGGACCATGTCTGTACTATCGTCGAGGGGCAAGAGGAAGGACTTCGCAGAGCCTGATTGTGAAAAGGCTGCCACGAGGGCTGAAGTGAGGCAGTTCGAGATGGAGGGCAGGGTGGGCGTTGAGGCGGCGCAGTTGACCTGCCATTTGAAAAGGGTGACAGCATCGGTTCGGAGGTTGAAGTAGCCTAGCCGTGCTTCACAGGAGGAGCAGGTTATGACGAGCGTTGGTGGGCGATCTCCATTCATGGTCTTAATTGCTGCCCCATTGTCTGCCACAGTGGCGTCCGCTTCAGTCGTCGAAGTGGGCAGAATCTATTCTAGATTAGCAACGAATATGTCGAAGAGACATTTTGGCCAAGTCCAAGGCATGGTATGTATGTGGCTCTGTTCATCCCAATGCTCCCACCACTCAGGAAGACACCAGTGAAATGCAGAGCCGGTCCATTCCTCTGCATAGCAGCCAACAAACCCATTACTTGCGTAACGGTTTCGGTGACTACCAACAGCCTACTGGAGTAGGGCGGTAACGGAAGTATTTACTTTTGGGCATTTGTATCGGTGATCAAGCCATTGACAGGTGTAACCCGGCGTGGCCACCTTCTTGACGCCCGTTGATATGCAGATAAATCCTTACGATTCGGAATAATGGGACAAGGTCTCACACAAGAAGGTCATAGACTCACCGCGATGCCCTGACAATCATCCTGAGAGAGCAGTACAGTCATAAGATCCACAAACCCGATGCTCTTCTGGGCTGCGAACACGGAATTCGCACCATAGCCTCTAGAAGCCAGGCCATTACTATGGTCATGACCATGATGGTCTGGCTTATGGCAGTGCCAAAACTCCATCATCTCCGCCCAGTTCTCACTCGGCAGGTCCTTCCACTCCTCGATCTTTGCCTCAGCCACAAGGAGAGCGTCACAGCGGCGACATCTAATTGCTGAGCCAGGCTGGAGTGTGTCCGCCGACCAAGGACCACTCGATTCGGCCGCTACTTCCCTGGCGCAGCTTTCGGCGTCCAGCGGTAGACGCCAGACAAGATCTTTGGTTGATGCGTTGTTCAAATTGGGGAGTATGCCGGATGTGAGCGGCCGCCCGGGGAGCAAAGCTTCTGTTATGTTGCCTTGGTGATGAACAGACACATGGAACCTGTCCTCGCTGACCTGCACGCGAGTTGAAGTCGTAGCTGGCGATGGCAGAGAAACAGCAAGGACCATCTGACGGATGTTGGGTAGCAACTCTGCATATATATAAATGCCCTGGGAGTTGCTTGGATCCATGATGACGACTGAACCTTCTTCAGGCGATGTTCACTACCCTTGACTGGTATCGTTGCCTCACGGCGAGGTCTGTGAAAAATGAAACGGAAAGGCGCGTCTAATCATGGCGACATCTGTCAAATCCCTCATAGCTCCGCAAACAGCTCTCGCGGGCTTCTATCACACTTCGCAAGGGCGTAGCATCTATCGGTGCTATAGCAGCCAAATCATAGAGAGATGTGACTTGAGATGAAAGTGGAATGAAGCTTGGAAGTGTGAACTCCATGGAGCTTTACTAAGGTGGTCCGTGCACATAATGTATTTACGACGGAGTGAACGACACCTTTTTCAGGCACGGCTGCCTTTTTACGGACAGAAATGTTGGAAATAATCTATGCAATGGATTGCTACAGCTTGACATTGACTAGCCCGATTTTACAGTCTCTACAAATCGTGTCATTACTCCCAAGGAGATCTGTTCATGAGCCAAAACCCAACATGAAGCTTTTTTAATATCATAGCCTAGGGCCTTCAAACCCGTCATCTTCATTTTTTGTTCAGCTACAGACATACTCTACTCCTCGCCACCTTCCTCCTCGACTTCAACAACATCCGCCTCGTCGTCATCATCGAAGCTGCCCGCAGGGACCTCGTACAGGCGCAGGATCTGCTTGTTGGGGTCCTTGACCAGGACGTACTTGCCGTCCTCGCGCTTGAGACACATGTCGGCGATGGTGCGCACGATGCCCCAGCCGTTGGACAGCGACAGGTTCATCTGGTTGGCAAAGTCGCGCGGCTTCCAGCCGATGACGCCCAAGATGACGTGCTTATCGTTCAGTTTGGGGTTGACACGGGACACGAAGCTGTGGAGAGAAAATCGTTAGCTTGATGGATGATCGGTGATGGGATGAAGGTCAAAAACTTACCCAAGCTTCATGACGTCCGCCTTGGCCAGGATGCTCTGGACGGTCCAGCGCGCCAGCTTGACGGAGTTGTTCTTCATCTCGGTGGCGACGACGGCACCACGCTGAGAAACGAGCTTCGTCCGCCAGTCCAGGGCGCCACCGGAGCCCTGGGCCTTGTTGTCGAACTCGTTCAGAGCCCTGACGGTCAGGAACTGGTCCTCGCCGTTGATGGCATTCTTCTGAACGGCGTCGATCTCTGTCCGCACAACAAGGTACACAGGATCTTCCTCGTTGGTAGAGAGATCGAATCGGCGGTACTTGTAGGCCTTGGATGCGGGCGGCGCTGTCTCCTCTGCGGGATTGTAGAAGGGGTTCTCGTGGGGCATGTCCACCTTTGAGCTATCAGACTCCAGAACCACCTGATTAGCAAAGTTGTGGTTGATGTAGGTTGCCTCCTCAGCCAGAGCACCGGGTTGGTTGATGCCATCCTTGCTGCCCTCTGAGGCCTCAAGGGGCGCATCGGCGGCGTTCTCGTTGACCGTCACCATGTCGAGAGCCGCGTTGTCCCGCTTGTCAAGGTAGATCTTGTTGCCTTGCCTGACAATGACGATATCCCACGAGTACACTGATCTGGGGGCGCACATCAGCATGGACAGGACGCTGTCTGTGGCAAAGATGGTGGCCTCGTCCTTCTCGGCTAGTTCCTGGATAACAGGGTCCGATGAGGTGGTGACGTTATACGCAGCACGGTCGAGGGCAGTGAGCTTCCTCTCAGCAGACTTGACAGCCGGCTTGTCGTAGGAGCGGTCGTAGTAGTAGAGGAAGCCGTACGAGTCGACATCCTCGCCATCGTCAGTCTCCAGGTTAAGCTTGCCCAGGCGGTTGAAATCAATCTCCTCCAGGAGCTTCCAGTCAGCCTTGATGTTGATGCTGGCATCGCGATTCCTAGCCGGCTTGTCGTAGTCCTTCCAGCCGAATCGTCGCCCTCTGGCGCCGGTATTGTTGCGGCCGCCGCCACGGCTGTCATAGCCACCACCATACTGTCCTCCCTGGCGACCTGTACGGTTGAATGTCTGACGTCCGCCGCGCGCATCGCCCCTGGCGCCTCGCTGGCCCCGACCTCCCCTTGTGAAGACGGCGCCGCGGCCGTATCTTGACTTGCCGGTATCGCGAACGTTGGAAACGACGGAGAATGAAGACTCGTCCTCGGCCACAGGGGCCGAGAAGAGGCTGGCAGTACCAGCACCGTAGACCTGTTGATCTATTTCAAGACCAAATTAGCATCTCCCGCGCAACTCTGACCGTTGTGAGACATACCTCTGTAGTTACGGTTGTATTGCATCCGTCCACCACGGCCGTCGCGCCCGTCCTTGCTGTCGGCGGTCCAGTCAGCCATGCGACCGAGCTTGTCGCCCTTAGAGAAAGGCGCATATGGGACTCCGTTCAGGGTCGTCTCGGTAGTAGTCGGAGGGCCCCAGCCATCGCCATCCGGGAGGGAGGCGATGAGGTCTGCCATAGAAGACGCCATCTTGGCGGCTTGCTGAATTGCTGTGTGCGGAAGGTGACTCGACGGGCGGCAGGATCTCTGGGTGATTTCCTGGAAGAGTATGTCGCGAGATCACAAATACCAGCGCGTGTATCTATCCGTATAGGTAGACAAAATAATGTACGCAGTCCTGGCTGTCGTCTTCGGTGCCTCTCTTATTCCAGGTTCCGTTCGATTGTCGAAATTCACCAAAAATTGCAATAATTCGTTGGTGGGGTGTGGTGGGGCAAAGAAAGGCGGGCAGGCGAATGGAACAGGATCCAACAGTAGAGGAAAATACAGTGCCGGAATACAGTGTGTCCGTGCTCTCGAAACAGAGCGAGTCTATATTTCACACTGTATGCAGCAGTCTCCTAACTCCTGAGGTTGACAAGAGACATGTCGAGAGCGAGCACCACGGTATCATATTCGATTATATGGTAAGCAGTCCTTGGCTATGTCATCAGAGTCATATGTTTTTGTTGAACGCTATGTTCCAACTTTCTCTAGTAGATATGTTCAAGTAACCCATACAGTTCGTCCGTCTGTAATCCAACCCAGTCAAGTGCAATTGCACCCCTAAACGCCATGCCAACAATCGATGAATCCCAATATGCTCCAGTGCAATGATAAGCGAAGGTGCCTCGCCGTGCGTACTTTCCTCACTCCTCTATGTTATGTGATGGGTGCCGCTATTCATAATCAAAACTTTTTTTCATCTCACGACTTCTCGTTGAGTCTCTCTCCACTCTGGCTGCTCTCTCCCTTCTCTTGTGAGGCATCGAGGTCAGCCCTGCTATTGCTGCCACTGCCGCTAGCGGTGCCGCTGCCTCTCCTTGTGTCCTCTTCATCTGGGAAGTCGATCTTCTCACCGAGCACGCCGGTCTCCTTCTGGGGGCGATCGCTAGTCCGCTGGAAGTAGCCGTGCGCCGCATCGGTGAAGTCGTCGTCCTCCTCGGGCTGGTGTTCCCCGTGCACCTCCCTCTGGCGCTTGATGTCCTCTTTCTCCTTCCACTCGCGTCGCAGGTCCTCCATCTTGGCCTTAACGTCAAGATCGGGATTGTAAGACTTTCCGACGCCCCACATGCGCTCCCACAGGCTGAGATGCTCGGGGTGCACTGCAATGCCGTGGTAGTCCTCAGGGCGGCCATCACGGATGTAGTTCCACCGACGCTCCTGCTCCTTGAGGTCCAGACCAGTAGTGTCAGGCAGGAAAACCCAGGTAAGAAGCATGCCGGCCAGGCCAAACCAGGGCACAACGTAGAACTTGGTTTGGGTGTCAATGTAGTTGTAGAGGACAGAAGCCAGCAGTGCGCCAGCCTTGCCGATGCATGCCGAGAAGCCGTGGGCAGTGGCGCGTACCGGTGTCGGGAACACCTCGCCGGCGACGAGGAAGGTGACGCTGTTGGGTCCGAACTGGTTGAAAAAGCTGCTGAGGAAATACATGGCCTGGAAGGCGTGGATGCCCATGGTGTGGCTGTAGTAGTAATAGTTGAAGGCGGGGACGACGAACATGACGAAGCACATGAGGAAGCCGACCTGCTGCATCATCTTGCGGCCGTACAGCTTGTTATCGATCAGCAAGGATGCGCAGTAGTAGCCAGCCAACGACACAACGACGTTGATCAGGTTCCAGGTCCACGTTGTCATGACGCTGCTCGTGTCGTTGGAGATGACGGAGATGAATTGTGACTGGAACAGCTTGTTGCCGTAGAAGAAGACATCGTTGCAGAACCAGGTGCCAGCAGTGGCAAGCAGGCGACCACCAAAGTGCTTGAAGGTCATGCGGAGAGATGCGACGTCGTAGCCGGTGACGTTGCTCTTGCGTTTGGCAATCTGCAACTGGCGGGAGGCGTGCGGCATCTTCCAGGTACGATAGTAGACGAGCCAGGCTGTTCCAATGGCAGGAAGGGCGAAAGAGATGCGGAACGTCCACTGCACGGCGACATGACTGTATGGCGGATTGCCGCTGCCGTGGTGGAAGACGAGCAAGAGGATGATGAGGACGGCCTGGTTGACCAGTTGGCCCCACCCTTGCATGAGGAAAGCCATGGTGACTTTTCGACCACGATGGAGACGGTCCTCGCGAGTCGATAGCTTGCCGGCACCCACAGCATTCTCCATGGACGAGGTGGCTGTGATGGGATACTCTCCGCCGACGCCGAAGCCGTAGAAGAACAGGGACCAAGCGTAGCAGATGACCCAACCCTGCAGAGTCGTGCCCCAACTAGCTGTCAGCATAAGAAGGCCGACGAACATGATGGCGGCGTCCTGAATAAGACCCCATCGTCGACCCATCCAGTCACCAATGATCTATATGCATTGTCAGCACCATTCGGTCACAACACAATTCAAGAAAAAAAGGTAACGTACACCAACGCCCATTTGTCCAACCATGATACCGAGGACCTCGAGGTAGGTGACGGCCGAAATCCAGTTGTGGGCGCATTCGGTGGCCGACTTTCCCCAGCACGTAGGCCATGCGGCGGCGAACAGGGGTTCGAGATTGCCGATGGAGAAGAGCACGTATCCCTCGAGGCCCAAACCGGCGCCGGGCAGAACAGCATTGCGGAAATACCAGGAGATGGGGCTGAGGGGGTCCTTCTTCATCATGGCGCCAATGGACTTCAGCTCCTTCTTGGCCTCGGCATTGTTGACCTGGTTGACGAAGGCAATGCGTTGTCTAAGCGGTAGGTCGGCCCAGTAGACGCCCTCGGGTGTGTAGATGTCTTCGGGGTGCGTGAGGTACTGGAAGATCATGCGCTCCTCCTCGGACCGCTGGCCCTCTGGCAGGTCATCGGAATCGGAGCCCGTCTCGGGACCGTGAGGAACGGGGATTTCGCCAAAACGAGGAGGGTGGTGGTGGTGATGGTGGTGTATAAGGTTGGCCATTCTGCTGTTCTCTGCCATGGCGGGGCTCTGATACTGCCCTTACCGAGCAGGACAGGGGCTTTCAAAGGAGCAAAGACAGAAAGGCGCAACGCAATGCGCGAAGAACAATGCGAGCTGGCAAGAATGCCGCTGGTAAGAATGGGCGGAAGAACAGCCTCCCAAGAAGCAATTGAGTTGTGGGAGGTCGCACAGGATTTGTGAGTGCTGTCGTCTGGAATGTAGGTCGAAGAGCAGGGAGGGACCGGCTTAAAGAGTACAAGACCTCTTCACTAGGCGCAGTACGCTAGACGAAGTCTCCAAGGTCCGGTGCGAAGGAGCGGGTCTGCTTGTGGCGACGAAGATGATGGGGAAAAGTGTCTTAGTGCAGCGGCCGCCCACACACAGTCAATCCCACGAGGAGGAAGAGTATACGCAGTAGTCAAAAAGGCGGGAGGGACGGAGACGCGGCGAGTAGGAGAGATGAAGAAGAACGGTCAGTCCGTTCAGGTAGAGCAACGTTGGACCAAACAGAATACTATGAGCTCATGACTGATTGAAGAGTCGTGTCGTGCTCGGGGACGGCGCGGCGGCGGGAAAGGGCATTTTATCAAGAAAAATCTGCGAGTCGAGGTCGAGCTTGAATCGCAAAGTACCTGACCCTGACTACGGCCGCCGTTCTTCCTGGTCAGCTACCTACGCAGTACCTGCTACTCGCGCTTCCCTCGGCCCCTCGACGATTGCCCGCCGCTCCAGAACACACCATCTAGAAGCGCTAGCATACATGTACCAAGGTGCATATGCACCATGCACGTTTCTCTCTCTCTCTCTGACTACCTGTACCTTACTATGCAGTATACTTCCGAATGCATGGGGTGATGGATGGGTTTTGAAGAGACCAATCCCATTGGCAATTGATTCCTCTACGGCCACTTACTTTGCGTATGTTTTAGCATTACTTTGATGTAATCGCATCGTGTTTGTATACGAGACATGCGACTGCTGGCATGCCATTCCGGTGCGTGCAATGTCACCCACAGCTACATCGCATCTGGGCTCGGTACTCAAAACAGCACCGAAGCAGTTCCACTGTCTGTCTGTCCGTCCGTCTGTCTATCAACTTACCCACATCTCATCCCATCTAGCGGTAGCTAGGGGGAGGTAGAGACACAGAAACACAGAGAGTGATTGTTGTTGATGATCTGCAGCAGCTCCCATCCCATGACTTCACCCAGATTGTCCCTGCCAACCCCCAACCCCCGACGAGGGCGGGCTTGGCTCTGTGGCCATTGGGATGCCAAGAAAGGGGAACGTGAGCATTTCCGTTGTTGTGCCTTGCTGGGCCTTGGGGCACTGGGG